CTCGAACGTCCTTCGCGGCCTTTTCCATTTCGGATCCGGACCGTCTTTTGAATTGGCCGTGAACTGGCCAGGTTCCGACCTGATTTTTCTCTCCCGGCTCGTTACGGCAGCTCCATTTACTGTGGTACTCCACCCCGGGCTTTCGGGAGTGCGAGAGCTCTCTTTCCCTTCGGGCGTCAATCCTCTCGGTGCGTGCCACTGGCTCTGATCCGTTTCGAGTCTGAAACGTTATTCTCGGTAGCGACATAAGCGCTTCTGTGGATCTTATTGAACATGATGGAATATTCTTACGTGACCTTATGGATCCGTTCACGCGATGTCCGGGCCTCCGTCGTCCTGCCTGCTGAGTCCCTCGCCGGTCCCACGAAGGCTGCTCCTCATCAAGTACAACTGTGTTTTTCTGGCCACTCACTCCGATCCGCAAAATCTCTAAAGAACTTAAAAAAATAAGAGGGAGAGATCGTCGTCCCCCCCGCGGTGGAGTTTACGATCTCAAATTTCCCTCCTCGGTCGGGCTTATTCGCCCTTGTGACGGACTGCAAAATGTCACGTCACAGTGTATATGTGTTGATTTTACACAGAGTTTTTGGTTATTATCGAGGTGTGATTTTATTTCCTTGGTTGGCTAAAGTATATATGACAGAGCTCTATTCAATAAGAAAGATGGGTATGCGTAGTTGTATTGTATGAATAACTATATCTATTTTTTTTTTGCTTTTACATGGATGTTATATAGATAACTTTATCTTTTATATAGAAAGGATAACATTTCAACAATGTTGGTGAGAAAGAAGTAAAAGGCAGGCCACATATGTTTTATCAAGTTTTGATTGATCAACGAGATTGTCCTTTTATAGTAAGAAGCAAAAAATTATAATTTTTATCTTGCTTTATATGTATGTATATAATACTTTTATATATTTAGCGTGCTCAAACAGAAGCGGTAACTTTTTTATTAGGCAATCATGAGAGCAGTCGCAGTTTGTACGCTATTATACGCTATTCCAGGATTAGATTATGTTGCTCATGAAGATATATTGTTGCCATATACTACAAATGAGAAAGCAGCATTGCAACACGAATTGTTCGATAAATTTTTGACCTATCATCCAGACAAGGAACCATGTTTTGTAGCATAAGAGATCTTCCGAGCATGGCAGAAAAAAAATCATCCATGGCTTGAATTATCGGAAGTACATAAAGAAACAACAGAGAATGTCTGCGTTATATTACTGTTATATATACAGGGTGTCCCAAAAATTTTGACACAACGGCCGTATGCCGGTAGAGCAGACCAAACTGAACCGAAAAGTCCTCTACCATTCTACAATTTTCACAAGGGTTAAAGAGATATTAATTATTAAAGATTACCGAATGCGAACGCACGGCTGAGATACGACCGCCTACAGACTACGGTCGCTAGGCGCGCGTAGTCTAGCGAGACGCGCCGCTCGCCGCTCCCCGCTCGCCGCTCACCGCTCGCCGCTCCCCGCTCGTCGCTTGTCGCTCGCCGCTTACCGCACGCCGCGCGCCTAGTGACCGTAGTCTGTAGGCGGTCGTATCTCAGTCGTGCGTTCGCATTCGGTAATCTTTAATAATTAATATTTCTTTAACCCTTGTGAAAATTGTAAAATGGTAGAGGATTTTTCGGTTCAGTTTGGTCTGCTCTACCGGCATACGGCCGCTGTGTCAAAATTTTTGGGACACCCTGTATAATATACCATTTACATGGGTTTTCAATATAGTAGTCATGTGAGTTTGCAAGCTCCTAGTGGTTATATGTGGTATGATTATTTAATTCTTATCAATATATAAGCGTTATTTTTTAAATTTATTTATTTTTTAACTCTAGGGGAACATTTAGGATGGAAAGAGAAGACGGATATTCATTTAATTTTGTAGAATACCACCTTTTTCTTTGGAATCGAAGGAAGAAGAGCCATCTACACCTAAAGTAGAAATCTGATTTCAAAGGATGGAATGATAATTATAAGCAATGACTAGCCAGTTAAATATATAACATTTTTTTAGATGACTATGTAATGTCAAGTGCGATTGATGAACTTGACCTGAACGTAATTTCTTGTGATTTTATTCTAAAAGCAAATTAGATAACTAAATAAACAAAAAAAGTTAAAAAATTATTAATTTTAAGATGTTAATAAGAGTAACAAAACAACATTATATATTATTTTATTATGTAATTTTACTGTTTCAAAAGAATTTGAAATTTATCAATTTAGAAGAAGCACGTCAATCCTGGGGTAATTATTGATGATTGACTAGAAATGTTGGAAGTACATAAAGAAACAACAGAGAATGTTCGCGTTTCATATATTAGACAATACTAATGTGCTTTTTGTCAGATCCTAAATTAGTTTCAACATTTATAATTTCCAGTCAATTTTAATTTTTGCGCATACTTCGCTTGGTGTAACACAAAAATTTTTGCGCAATACTTCGCTTGGTGTAATATAAAAATGTTTGGTTACTATCATTACTATCAGATTAATGTTTTTCATAAAATTAATATAATAATTGATAATAATTATTAATAATAAACACAAACTCGACAAGAAATCTTGTAATACATAATTTAAAATTGACTGGTTAATATAATAATTGAAAATGTAATAATACGCAAATTTTAATTATAATATTAATAAACACAAACTCGACAAGAAAGCTTGTAATACACAAATAAAATTTGACTGCTTAACATAAAAATATAAAAAAATGTAATAATACGCAATATTTAATTGTAATAATTATTAGTTACGGATATTCCGCTTTTGCTTATTTCGCCACGACTTAATTATTGACTGCAAATGATAAATATTGTTAGAACTAATTTAGTATTCATAGAACAGAAATATTAAACTTTGATTATTTATTTTAAACAAATCATGCACTAAAGTCTCGAATCGTGTACTTTTTTGACAGAATATATGGTACAACAATTAAATATAATCATAACACTTATCACTGTCTTATGTGACAATTGTTTAGAGACTTTAGTGTATGATTTGTCTAATAAAATGAAATTAAATAGCTCAAAATTTAATATTTCTGTTCTGAGTACCCTAAATTAGTTTCAATTTATAGTCAAAATTATAACAAAAAAATGATATCTATCAAAAAATTACCTTTTTAAAAAAAGGTAAAAAAAGGCACCAAGTACACGCTCTTGTCACAACCAAAACAAGTTATATTTTATTGCTTTTATTGCTTTATCTGTCCAAAAAATTGTCGTACATATTTAGAACTTTTCCAAAAAACCTGTCGTATATATCTAACCAAAACAAAAATTATATTTTATTGCTTTATCTATCAAAAAAATTGTCGTACATATTTAGAACCTTTCCAAAAAACCTGTCGTATATATCTAACCAAGTGGGACTAAAGAACTATGAAAAAAAGTTGTTAACTATTTCTATAAAAACTCTTCTATAAAACTCTTGTACATAAAAGCTGTCGTATATATTAACCAAAAATTGTACTTTTATAAAATGTTGTATATACCAAATAAAACTTCGCTATATATTCTACCTATAAAAGAGGTGATATCAGAAAATGACGCCAAGTTTAAATAAAAATACTTTTCAAAAAAGTTGTATGTATATATTATTCTATAAAACTCTTCTATAAAACTCTTGTACATAAAACTGTCGTATATATATAAAAAACAAAAAATTAAAATAAAAAATATAAAAAATTTAATTAAAATAAAAAATATTTATTATAAAACGCAAAAAAACTTGGCGCTGCTACACTAAACTACATGTTAATTTCATTGCTTTATAATACTTTGTGACTTGACCATCTAACTTGCAATTAGAGAAACAAATCAGATTTTAAGAAATTAGTCAAAATCAAAATTTGGCAAATACAAAATTAATTAAAAGAAACTTTACTTGATTTTGACTTTTTCTCAAAAACTACGTTTGGAGAGCGTTTATATATAAATGGTTCTTAACAACGCTTCTCTACTTATGTACTAAAAATTTTTTTGTTGTCAATTTTACACTGAAGATGGCCACATTCCTTAGCCAAAACGTATGTAATAATGTGTAATAAAAAATGAATTTTTGAGCAACTCGATCCAGCTCTTGCTCTATTTGCTTTATGTTAACACGAGTATTATTTTAATATAAGAAAAGCAATAACCTAATATTAATTGTAATATTATTAAAAATTTTTTTTATTAAAATTATATATTTTTTTCATTTTTTAATACATAATAAAGATTAAAGTCTACTTAACATAAATAAACCCAAAATAATTATTAATTATCAATTAATTAAATATTTGCAAAAATATAGGATATGCATGTGTCTGCATATCCGATGTGTCAGCAGTATCTGAACATAATATATTATAGAACACGCCAAAGAGAGAGGGATATATATACTTTATAAATGAAAAATTCAGAAATTTGTTCTAAAAACTGATCAAAAATGCTTTATTTAGCATTGCAAAAAATATTATATATTTGCTCTTGGTAAAATCATTAAGAATCAATCCAAATTGTTTAATATGTTCTAAACAGAACTTCTTCTATTCATCATTATGTAATTAAATATTACACAATAATTTTTCAAACTAATTCTTTTTATAAACCTAATTTATTAAAATTTTTGTACGTTGTTTCTAAGTTTTACATTTATAAGTAATAAATAATAATTGATTGTTAAAATGTATATATTATGGATCCGACAACTAAAACATTTACCTTATACACGGTCGCCTTTGCTGCGTAAAACACATGAACTTAACAAGAGATACGACTGTATCTCGTATTATCTCCTACGTATTCCTTATGCGTTCACAATAAAGCAGTAAATGTGTAAGACAACTACATTACTGCAAGCAGCAATTATCGATTAAGCATAGTCTCTCTCAACAAATACACCGCCCTAAAGATTCGCGCATGCGTCGGTTTGAATATTACGCTAATTGAAGCACTGCCAGTCGCCTTCAGTCTGTCATAGTCAGCGCATCATGCGCTTTCACGAAGTTATGATGAACGCACATCCGAAACGTGCCGTAAAAAGCGCGAATTCTGAAAACGACAACAAAAATGATAACAAAATAAAATATAAGTATAAATGGTTACTCTTATCCATCGGTGCTTGGCCACAAACGACTATAGTGAAGAAGATACTTGTGTCAATACAAATTTTTATCAGTGCGAGCTCGGTGGCAATTATTATGATACCATGCATGTTGTACATATTGTTTGACGATGACCACATCAAGATTAGATTAGGCGCTCTCGTTTCGTTGCTTTTTAGAATTATGAGTTCGACAAATTATTGCTTGATAATTTTGCACAAAAAAAGTATATTCCATTGTATACGACACATGGACACCGATTGGAAACTAATTCAAAAAACTAATGAACGCAAACTAATGGATCAATATGATAAGACTGGCAGCTTCATGCTGAAGTTCTACATGACATTTCTGTTTTGTGGATCAAACTTGTTTCTCATCGCACGGGCGATAAAAACCACAACTTTCACAATCGGTAACGAAACCTTTACGACACATCCAATGGCATGTCCCATATACAAGAAAATCATCGACGTGAGATTCAATCCTACGAACGAAATTTTTCTGGTTCTGCAGCTTATTTCGTCACTTGTATCAAGTTTCATTGCATTGACTTCTTTTAGTATTATTGCTGTCTCTGCGATGCATGCTTGTGGCCAGTTGCAAATATTATATACGTGGCTGAATGAAGTTGTCCAGAATCATAAACAAAAGAATTCAGCAGAAAAGAAAATAGCAATTATTATGGAGCATCACATAAGAATCTTCAGGTATTTTACTCAAATGTTGAAGTTTAATTATATTTTACACAAACTCATTTTTATTTAACATTTGTTTAAAAGACATTTTATTGCATGATAACAATATATATTTTCTTATTAAAACAAAGTTTATTACTATTTATCTGCGCGTGTGTAAAAATGTAACCAAATACGTATTAAATAGATTCATACGTAGATATAATGTTTAAAAAAGTGCACCTTCCGTTTAAATTATACGCATACATTTCAGTTTTATAGCAAATTTAGAAAGTATTATGAGTCCAATTAGTCTGTCAACTATAATGACATGCACATTAGAATTGTGTTTACTTGGATATTATGCTATTATGGTATGTTGAAAATATATGATATTTATTAACTATATAATAAATTTAATGTTGTAAAAGCAATTTAATGTTATATTTTAACAATAAATTTAGATATTAATTAATTTTCCAGAATTGGGCTGCATTTGATGCAGCAAAAATGATTTCATATCTTGTCGTATATATAACAGTATTTTACAACATATACGTATATTGCTACATCGGAGAAATCTTAACAGAACAGGTAATAAAAAAAAATAAAAATAGTTTCTAAACGTTCGATAACTCTTCAACTTGAGAATAAAAAATAATATCATATTCTTATCAAAAATAAAAAAAAATGCTGAATTATTTTGCTTGTTTTTTTCGTACTTGTATACATATAATGTTACTATTTTCAAATATTAGGTTGTGTAATAAGTAATTTCGAAATTTTTAATAGAAATCCTATTAAAAATTTTATTTAACCTTTACTTCTTTCATTTCAATCTATTTTGATATTTTTTATTCTTGTCTCTAAATTTTCCAGAAATTAAAAATTGTTCTATAACTGTATTTATTTAGTGCAAAAACGTTGGGGAGATAGCATATATGACCGATTGGTATAAATTGCCTAGCACAACAGCACGCAGCTATATTTTGATAATTTTGCGATCAAATCATGTAGTGAAAATGACTGCGGGGAAGATATTGCAACTGTCCATCGCAACTTTTGCCGATGTAAGTAACACATGTATCACTGTCATGATACCATACTATAAAAAAACTTTTACCAAAATTTATATTTCATTAATTATAAATTTGTTTTGCAATCTTTTCGTAACTCAACTGTTTAATTCTACATTGTAAAATATTTTGAAGTATTAAAATATTAAAAATGCAACTAACTAGTCCAACTTTTTGAGAATCTCTATTACAAACAAAATACAAATAAAAATTTTCTTATTTTAGATAGTTAAAACTTCAATGGTATATTTAAATTTTTTGCGAACAATGACAGCATGAAATATAGTAAACCAGAAAATAGTTAAATGCACGCATAGAATGTTTCCCAAATAAAATAAATATTTAATAAATAAAATTATAATATAACAGCAATAAATTGAAAAACACGATACGGCATCTATAATAATTTTCCTGAAATTAAATAACCAAAACACAATATTCAACAAAGTTTGTACTCGCACTTCTTAAATTATTAAGTTGATAATTAACTTTATTCTATTCTTAAATTTTAAATAAACAATTTTACTTTAATAATAACTTTTCATTAAATAATATATTAACTATTAACTATTTTTTTATAATCTTTTGCCACCCAGTAAGCAGAAGAAAAATTTTTCTCTCAAAATGTCATATTTTTTTTCAGTGAACAAATTCAGATGAATTTTACAAATTTTTCAAAAAGTAAAACTTTAACATTGAGTAAAATTTTAAATTGGAAAAATAACAATTGGAACAAATGATAATTTAAGAGTGCTATATATATATATATGTAGCGCCTTTTGCAAAAGAGCCAAGTGAAGTAAAACATTTTAATCAAGCTCTAATTATTTACGATATGAAAAAAATATAAAATTTGGCATTATAAACAAATACACAACACTTTTCCTATTTGTAGCTTTTCGATAATTGCAAATTTTAGCTGATCCAATTGCAAGCAATACTTTTAAAAATTTATTATTTTATTATTTATAAGCTGATAATAAAGAAAAATTATTTCAACTCGTACGAAAGATATAATTAAGAGATTTTCTGATTTATCTCTATCACTCAATCAATCTAATCTACTTGATCTATTTAGGTTTTCTAAATTGTTAAAACTTCCTCAACTTGCTTAGATTTGCGCTCTGTACATGACATCGGGCACTTATATAAAATTCTAAATTTAACATCTTTTCTCCGAAAATCGGACGTATTAAATGACGATAATTTGGTGAACAGAATCACTGGAATCGTTGAAAAAAAACATGTTCGGCTATTTTTTATACTTATTGTTAGTTTGAGCGTCTCGGAAAGATAGCGACTTTTTACCAATGAAATAAATAGAAAAACGAAAATTCAGAATACGATTTCCGATAGCGAAGAATCACATATTTAAACATTTATTTATTATTTGTAACGCTCACAAATTTTAGGTAACTGAGCAATTCAAATAATTTGAATTTCAATGAATAACGATTTGATAAACATAGTAAAATGTATAATAAATAAATATTTATAAAATTTCATATTTAATATATTTGTTATTTTATCTGGCTTGCTACAAAATTTTTCATATATTACTCTAAAACATATTTAAAATTCTAAGGACTTACAATATACACTTCGAATGAAAAATTATTTATTGTCTTCTTGCATATCCGTGACAAATCCAACGTCGCTAATAGCTTTGCAATCCTTTATCCATCCTCTTTTCATAGATTTTTTTATTATAGAATTAGTTGCAATTTTTAATACTTGTCGTAAACTGCGAGAAAAAATTTTTTATTAAGTTACAGGGTGTTGAAAGTATGTAATTTTAAGGACAAAACAATACGTTGTTTTTTGGGCTTAGAGGTGCAAAAATAAATAATTTTTTAAAAACCACTAAAAGCATGTGAAAATTCAAGTTTCACGCTTTGAAATGTTTTTTATATTTTTTGTCTGCAATAATTTTTCATCGAGTTACAGCGGTTGGAAAATTGCATCAACGCGGCAGAGCAGTGCGGCTAAATGGCTAAGTACGCGGTGATTTCAAAATAAAAAAAACTTACCTTTTTTAAAAAAAGATACAAAAAAAAGCGCCAAGTACACGCAATTATTAAAAATGTTATATACATCTGTGAAAAAAGCTGTCGTATAAGGGTGTTTTATAATGTCCATGCCAACGCTCGTGTACGGGTAAAGTGCGGCAAACTAAATAAAAAAATCCTTTACCGTTTTGCAATTTTTGCAATAATAATTGAGATATTAATTAAAAAGTATTGACGAATAATCGCACGTCGCGCACGGTTATACCGTGGGCTGTACACTCTAGGCGTGACAGCGATGAAGATCGCATGATCACAAAAAATAACAACGCATATTACTCTTGTTTTCGCCACGCGTACTGCGCGCAGTAAAATTACAATGTTTTCAACCATTGTAATAAAATATGTTCTTTTATATTTTCTTTATTCTCACATGTTGAAAAATTGATACAACTTTTTATCACAATATTTAATGTTGTATCAACAGATATTTTTTAGTAATATTGTTAATAAGTCATTATTATTATTTTAAATCATAAAAACATCTCTCATTAAATTTTAGTTAAATATCTCATAAATTGTTACAACGTAAATATGTTAATAGTATAAGAAATTTTTTATACTTATCTCATTTACTTGTGTAGTATCTTTACAATAAAGGTACGTACAACAGTAAAATACAAATCTTTATATGTTAAAAAATATCACATTTAATTAGAATGCATAAATATTTAATAATTTTATATAAAAATCGTATATCAATATCCACATTTTGTAATGATTTTTAAGTTTTTACAATTTTCACAAATTAACTCACAATTTTCGATTAATATACACGACATATAATGCAAAATGCAAGTAAAATATTATTTTTGCAATTCATTATTGCATTCATCAAAGGTATCACAATCTTTCCAAAACATATTCTTTTCACAAGCGACGAGCACGATATTCTGGTCAACACTGTCAATTATTGATTAGACATGCATGCACATGTATCTCTCTCAGAGCGTACGCTAACTTGTCCCTTCAGTAAACCGCTCTAAAGTTTCGCGCATGCGCTCGTTCGAATATTGCTCTAATCGAAGCATTGCCAGTCGCATCACACTCAGTCTGTCAATGCGCTTTCGCGAAGCTATTATGAATGCGCATCCGCAGCGTGCCGCAAAAAGCGCGGATTCTAAAAACATCAGTGATAATGAAATAAAATATCAATATAAATGGTTACTCTTATCCATCGGTGCTTGGCCACAAACGACCATAGTGAAGAAGATACTTGTGTCAATACAAATTGTTATCAGTGCGAGCTCGGTGGCAGTTGTTATGATACCATGCTTGTTGTACGTGTTGTTTGACGATGACAGCATCCAGATTAGATTAGGCGCTCTTGTTTCATTGCTTTTTAGGATTATGAGCACAGCAACTTACTGGGTGATAATTACGCGCCAAAAAGACATATACGATTGTATACTACACATGAGCGCCGATTGGAAACGAATTCAAAGAACAACTGATCGCAAACTAATGATTAAATATGATAAGATTGGCAACTTCTTGGTAAAACTCAGTACGTCATTTGTGTTTTTTGGTTCGCACGTGTTTATCATAGCACGAGCGGCAAAAACCATAACTTTCACAATCGGTAACGAAACTTTTAAGACACATCCAATGGCATGTCCGATATACAAGAAAATCATCGACGTGAGATTCAGTCCTGCAAACGAGATTTTCCTGTTTCTGCAGTTTCTTTCGTCACTTGTATCAAATTGCATTATAGTGGCTTTTTTTAGTATTGCCGCTGTCTGTGCGATGCATGCTTGTGGCCAGTTGCAAGTATTATATACGTGGCTGAATGAAGTTGTCCAGAATCATGAAGAAAACAATTTAGCACAAGAGAAAATAGGAGATATTGTAGAGCATCACTTAAGAATCTTCAGGTATTTTACTCAAATGTTGAAGTTTAATTATATTTTACACAAACTCATTTTTATGAAACATTTGTTTAAAGATGAGACATTTTAATGCACAATAACAATATATATTTTTTATTAAAAGAAAGTCTATTACTACTTATCGGCGCGTGTGTAAAAATGTAATTAAATACATATTAAATAGATTTATACGCAGATATTATGTTTAAAAAAATGCACCATTCCATTTACATTATATACATACATTTCAGTTTTACAACAAATTTAGAAAGTATTATGAGCCGAACTTGTCTGATAACTATAATGGCATGCACATTACAATTATGTTTCCTTGGATATTACGCTATTATGGTACGTTGAAAATAGATGATATTTATTAACTATATAACAAATTTAATGTTGTAAAAGCAATTTAATGTTATATTTTCATAATAAATTTAGATGTTAATTCATTTTCCAGAATTGGGCTGCATTTGATGCTGCAAAAATGGCATCATATATTTGCGTATATACATCAATATCTTACTGCATATTCGTGTATTGCTACATCGGTGAAGTAGTGACAGAACAGGTAATAAAAAAAATAAAAACAGTTTGTAAACATTTGACTATTCAACTTAAAAATAAAAAACAATATAATATTCTTATCAAAAATAGAAAAAAATGCTAAATTATTTTGCTTGTTTTTTCGTACATGTATACATATGTATAATGTTAATATTTTCAAATATTGGGTTGAGTAATTAGTAATTAGTAATTTCGAATTTTTTAATAGAAATCCTATTAAAAATTTTATTTAACCTTTGCTTTTTTCATTCTAATCTATTTTGATATTTCTTATTCTTGTCTCTAAATTTTCCAGAAATTAAAAATTGTTATATATTTGCATTTATTTATTAGTGCAAACAAGTTGCGGAGGTAGCATATATGACCGAATGGTACAAATTGCCTTATACAATAGCACGCAACTATGTTTTGATAATTCTGCGATCAAATCAAGCAGTGAAAATGACTGCGGGGAAGATGTTACAACTGTCCATCGCAACTTTTGCCGATGTAAGCACATATATTATTGTCATAATGCCCGTACTGGAAAAACCTTTAACAAAACTTATTTTTTATTAATTATAAATTCGTTTAGCAATCTTTTCGTAACTCAACTATTTAGTTTTACATTGTAAAATATTTTGAAGTATTAAAATATCGAAAATACAACTAATTAGTCCAACTTTTTGAGAATCTGTATTATAAAAAAAATTCAAATAAAAATTTTCTTGTTTTAGATAGTCAAAACTTCAGTGGTATATTTAAATTTTTTGCGAACAATGACTGAATGAAATATAGTAAGTTAAAAAATAGCAAAATGCACGTATAGAATGTTTTCCAAATAAAATAATTATTTAATAAATAAAATTACAATATAACAGCAATAAATTCCTTTCAAAAACACGATACGGCATCTCTGATAATTTTCCTGAAGTTAAATAACCAAAGCCCAATTTTTTCAACAAAGGTTGCACTCACGTTTCTTATATTATTCGGTTGACAATTATTGAGTTGACAATTAACTTTATTGTTTGTATTTTTACAGCAAATTTTAAATAAATAATTTTATTTTTAATAATAACTTTTCATTAAATAATATATTAACTACTTTTTTATAATTCTTTGTCATCCAGTAAGCAGAAGAAAAATTTTTTCTCTCAAAATGTCATATTTTTCTAAGTAAACAAATTAAAATAAATTTTACAAAATTTTCAAAAAGTAAAACTTTAACATTGAGTAAAATATTAAATTGAATTGAAACAAATGATAATTTAAGAGTGCAATGTATGTAGCGCCTTTTACAAAAGAGCCAAGTGAAGTAAAACATTTTAATCAAGTTCTAATTATTTACGAGATATGAAAAAAACATGAAATTTGGCATTGTAAACAAATACACAACACTTTTCATATTTGTAGCTTTTCGACAATTGCAAATTTTCACTGATCCAATTGCAAGCAATACTTTTAAGAATTTATTATTTTGTTAATTATAAGCTGGTAACAAAGAAAAATTATTTCAACTCGTACGAGAAATATAATTAAAAAATTTTCTGATTTGTCTTTATCACTCAATCAATCTAATTTACTTGGTCTATTTAGGTTTTCTGATTTGTCAAACTGCCTTAGTTTGCTTAAATTTGCGCCCTGTACGTGACATCGGGCACTTATATAAAATTCTAAATTTAACATCTTTTCTCCGAAAATCGGACGTATTAAATGACGATAATTTGGTGAACAGAATCACTGGAATCGTTGAAAGAAAACATGTTTGGCTATTTTTTATACTTATTGTTAGTTTGAGCGTCTCGGAAAGATAGCGACTTTTTACCAATAAAATAAATACAAAAACGGAAATTCAGAATACGATTTCCGATAGCGAAGAATCACATATTTAAACATTTATTTATTATTTGTAACGCTCACAAATTTTAGATAATTGAGCAATTCGAATAATTTGAATTTTAATGAATAACGATTTGATGTACATAGAAAAATGTATAATAAATAAATATTTATAAAATTTTATATTTAATATAATATTTTTATGTTTTGTTACATCGATGAGATTCTCACAGAATAGGTAATAACTTGAACTTACTGATATAATTATTCAGGTTTGAACTGGTATTTATACGGTCTATTTGAGAAAAACTGTTGCTCGTATTTACATTTCATGTCTCGCAATATTTTTTCGACGTTCTTTACATTTATGGACACTTAAAAAATAATTAAAAAATTTTGAATTAATAATGCAAAAATGTCGGTGAAGAAGCATATATGATCAATTGGTACGAACTACCACACAAAACCGCTTTTGAACTCGTTTTGATGATAGTACGATCAAGTAACGTTATCAAAATGACAGCTTATTTCAATTGTCTATCGCAACTTTTGGTGATTAAGCAATTGATACATCGCACTTAAAATGGTAAAAATTATTAATAAAAATTTGATCTATTTTATTTACTTCATATTTATCTATCAATTATTGACATTCCTCTCTTAACCAATTTCATTTTTTATTCATGTATCATTTTAAATTAATTTAAAACTTTTTTGAAAAATATTGCGTAAAAATACTGATGTATTATAATTAATTTATATTCTAAATAGGAAGAAGATACTATTGTTTCAAACAATTAAAACTTCCGTGATATATTTGAATATGTTGCGAACAATGACTTCTTCTATGTAAACTATATTAAGTTTGAGAACAAATATATTTTGTATACAAAAAAAATAGATAGTACAAGTATTTCAAAATAAATAGAATGAATAGTTACGTTATAAAATAATCTTTATGATTATTTATATATTATTCAAACATACGGTAAATTTCCACATTATCTGAAATAATTTCTTCAAAGTTAAAAGTTAACATAAATAGATATCAAAATATCAAATATTTTTCATCGCAAGATATTAAATTGGATTAATATTTTTTTGTAAGATATTTTATGCGTATAGTATTACAATTTACATAATTGCATACGATTGTAAAAGAAAATTGATGGGAAGATCTATATATGTTCTCCTATATGCTCTTTATGCATTCTCTAACTAAACAGTAAACGTTAGATTTCCATGAGTAGTAATTATCGATCAGGCGTGCATGCGTCTCTCTCAGAAAGTATATCACCCTTTCCGTTCATCAAACCACTCTAAAGATTCGCGCAAGCGCTTGTCCAGATATAATTCTATGTGATACATTGTTCGCCGCTGTCAGTGTATCGTGCGCCTTCGCGAGGTAATCATGACACATCTAGCACGTGTATCAACGAGTATCGGATTCGCGTACAAAAGTAATAACGACTACAGTCTTCAGTTGACTCGTTGGTTTTTAATGCCAATTGCTGCTTGGCCACAAGACAGCACATCGACGACAGTGGAGAGGCTTTCATTGCGAGTGCACGTTGTTGCTTGTTCGTCTTTGATAGCAATCGTCATGGTGCCGTGTATGTTGTACGTGTCACTGGAGGAGAAAGACGTCCAGATGAAATTGAACGCTATGGGTCCGCTGAGCCACTGGATCATGGGCACAATTAATTACTGGCTTCTTCTGTCACGCGGCGGTGACATTCGCGAATGCGTGCAACACATGGAGATGGACTGGAGGCTAGTTCGAAAGACCGACGATCGAGGACTGATGTTGCGATACGCCAAGATCGGCCGCTTTATCGCCGGATTCTGTGCGGTGTTTATGCAGAGCGGGACATTTCTTTTCACCATAGCCAAGGCAATGACATCTACGCCGGTCATAATTGGCAACGAGACTACATTAGTGCACCCGATGACTTGTCCGATTTACAGCAAATTTATCGATACGAGATTTAGCCCTGCAAACGAGATCATGCTGGCAATAGAGTTGTTGTCATGTTTCATAGTTAATTCGATTACAGTTGGCGCTTGCAGTCTTGCCGCAGTTTTCGCAATGCACGCTTACGGCCAGCTAGACATGCTGTTTTCGTGGTTAAACAATCTCGTCGCAGACGAGGATAAAGGAAACGAATTTGCCGAACAGAGACTGGCCACTATTGTGGAGCATCATTTGAGAGTGCTGAGGTATTTTAATTAAACAAACGAGATTTATTTCATTTGTGCAGTCACCGCAATACATATTAGATAAAATCCTATTTAGTTACCGATTAGACATTTTTGTTTTATTAAAAAAAAGATTGTTATTTTTCAACAATAAATTTCATTAAAAGAAAGAATCTATATAAAAAGACTTAAAACTTTTGCAAAGAGAAAGAAATGTTATTGACCACATATTTGCATTTTAGTTTTATATCGCGCATGGAGAATATTATGCAACATATCTGTCTTGTAGAATTGGTGGGATGCACAATGAATATGTGTTTACTTGCATATTACTCTATTATGGTATGCTAAAAGCCTAAAAAGGTGAATATGTTATAGTAGCATTTCATAGTTTTCTTATTTGTGAAATGTTAAACATAATTTCTGATTTTCCAGAATTGGAGTGATTTTGATGCAGCAAGAATAACGTCACATATTATTATATATGTTTCGATGGCTTTCAATATTTTTATATTTTGCTACATTGGCGAAATTCTTACTGAACAGGTAATATCTCAAAACATGATCATTATTTGAAGTATTATGCACACATAAATATTGTATCTTAATTATCTCTTGTTAAATTACCAGTTTTACTTGAGTTTCGTATTTTATATTTCTCAATTCGCTTTATCTCACCTATCGCGCTTTCGGGCTTTAAAAAAAATGATTCATCTGTATATTAAATTATTAGTGTAAAAATGTTGGCGAAAAAGCATATATGACCGATTGGTATAAACTACCGCGTAGAACTGCTCTTGGTCTTATTTTGATAATAGCGCGATCGAGCAATGTTATCAAGATAACTGCTGGAAAATTATTTCAATTGTCTATCGCAACTTTTGGTGATGTAAGTAAAACGTATATATTGCACTTACGATATGATACTGTATTAATAAAAAATTTAATACATTTTTTACTTTATATTCATATATTATTAATTATTATGAAATATTCCTCCACATATTTTTATCTATTATTTTTTATTATTTTCAAGAAATGTTCACAAATTCAGATTTTCTAATATTAAAATTTTCTAAATTAAAATGTAATATTGAAATATCATGATTAACTGTATCGTAAATAGGAAGGAAGACATTGTTGTTTCAGGTAATTAAGACTTCTGTGGTATATTTGAATATATTAAGAACGATGACTCCTGCATAAATTATATTAAATTAGAAAATGTATAAAATATATTTTCTATAGAACAAATGTGATATCGTCAAAATAGAAAAAAATATTTAATAAATAGAATAAAAATAATTCACCATAATATATATTTTTTCATGATGACATTATTGAAAAATATTGCAATGTTATGTGTTTCACGAAAATTCTATTCTAAAATTAAATATTAATATTTTTTGCAAGATCATAAAAATATTTGCCTTTCGAAATTGCAGAATGGCCATTGCATTATACAAGAAAATACTTTCTTCTTATTAATATTTCTAAAGAGCCGTATATGTTAGTTTGCATATCTAAATTAAATATAAAACAATAATATAGGATTGTATATAATTAGAAAAAAAATTAATATTTCTCCGAACGCGTAAGCAGTCACTTTCCAAGACAATCTGCAGCCCTCCAACAGTGCAGCGTGCTTCGAGTATCGATCGTTAAGCAAGACGCGCACAAAAAAAATTATTAGGGGAAGGTGAGGTAAGACGGACCGCGGGGTAAAATGGTCCATTTGCTAGATCTTATTAGTAAGTACCTCTATCTGCTGGATAAACATAAAATTAATTTCCTTTTTGATGCTTTTTAACTGTTTAAAAATTACGTCATTATATCATAAGACTATCGTGAGTTATTTATAAAGAAACGTCAAATTCTTGCAAATAGATCTCGTGATCTAATTTCTTAGTATTACATTTTAAGTGACTAAGATTGCAAAACTTAATATTTTTAAATTTTTCTACAAGTTCCATATTTCTGGTTATTTAGAAGTAATATTTCATCAGTTACATTTAAAAAATAATTTTTACAGGTAAATAAAAATAAGATAATATTAATGTTGTTATGTGGGGTAAAATGGACCAATTTAAATGGGATAAAACGGACCAATTTATATATTTGTTCTACTTATATTTTCTACTTATACTTTCTACTTATAGTTTTCTGCTTATATATTTGCTCTGATTTGAGAAATATTTTACATCTCATTTTTTTTACTGGAAAAAGCTATGAAAAATAAAAAACGCACTGTTAAAAGTAGAAGAAACTTGAAATTTATTGAAAATAATGTCTCCAAATAAAAACAGATTTTATAATAATTATTTATTTTATTTACATGCTTTATTTTAAAATGTTATATTTAATGTTATATTTAATATAAACGTTAAAAATTATAAAGATTATAATTATTTTAAAGATTTGTGTGCATAATAAAATGATTAATGTTAAATTAATTTCTATTCTTATTCAAAAATATTTAATAAATAATATATAGTTTTGATTTTGAGTTGATCAGTTAAATTATTTCTTGATTCATATTATTTCGGTTTGGTCCATTTTACCCCATGGGATGGTCCATTTTACCCCACCTATGGGGTAAAACGGACCAAAATTAAGTTTTTAAAAATCTTAATAATAATTCAAACTTTTGCAAATTTTGAAAATTTAACATTATAATCTTATAATAAACATTCTACAGTTTCTTCATGCTAAATTTCAGTTATTTTTTATGCATTGTTTATGCATTGCAATTATTTTTTGATTGCATTAATCTTGCGTTATTTATATTATTATAATATGTATAAATGATAATACTAGGCCTCCAAAAAGTCCTGTCATTTTTTTCAAAGCGTCTTGTTTACCTCGCTGTAGTTCTTATATGATGAAGGTGGTTCCTGATATATCAAATGTTCTAATTGTGTACTGTAAATTTTTATAATATATTATCCAAAGTTTTTCAGAGATGGAGTGCAGAAACAGAAAGCTCAATAGCTTATATGATTATATACATATCCATGACTTTCAACATTTTCATATTTTGTTACATCGGCGAAGTGCTGACAGAACAGGTAAAAGATCAAATACGAAGCTTGAAATGTTATAGTATTATTATTAAAATATTTTCATGGACTTTTGAGAAATCAAGTAAGTCCAATTATTATAACTTTTTTATATTATAAAATATATTATTTAATAGTGCAAACAAGTAGGTGAAACAGCCTACATGACTGATTGGTACTGTTTACCTCATAAAACGGCTCTTAGTTTCATCTTAATCATCATCCGATCGAGTATGGTGATCAAACTAACTGCGGGGAAACTGGTGCATCTTTCTATAGCCACTTTCGGCAATGTGAGTGTGTACGAATATGTATATCACTGCTTACACAACCTAAAATTCATATAATATTAAAATGCTTCAGGTAGTGAGGACTTCCATGATATATTTAAACATGCTACGAACCATGATGGTTTCTTAGAAAATTACATTACTTGTACACATTATTATGTGTACATTATAGGTTTTTAGCAAACATTAGCAAATTTCCTAGTCGTCACCATGATATCACATCTTATATTTTAATATTAATATAAATTATCTTATTAAAACACAGAATATCTACTACAACATAACGTTACAAACTTTGAAAACGTAATAATCAATAGAAATTATTATAATATTATTTGAATAAATAAATATTTATAAGAATCACTTAAGTAAAAACGTAAAAACAGATCAAATAGAATTAACTGATATTTTCTTATTTCTTTCTTTAATTTTAAATATTAATTTGTCACATGTTGCATATGCAGATCTCTTTACATCTGCCATTCTATCGTATCTCTCACTATCAAATTGAGTAGCCCATGTGCAAAAGCAGCTATATCTAAAAATATAAAAAAATTAGATATTAATACCTTTAGATTCCTTAATTCCTTGACGAATTAAACGTTTTAAAAATGTGTAACAACAGTTACAAACCCTATAAAATCAAAAGAGAAAAGTGGGTCAAGTTGCAAAAGAAGTTAAATCCTTATTCTGTATTGCAAATGCAGTTATATTTATCATTTGAATTTGACATAAAGATAAAAGAGGAAGACATTGTATTTTTCCAATAAATAACTAAATGTGACGTTTTGTAATATAATACGTATATTTTTTTTATATTATTAGGGTATAAAAATGCTTCAAAATTATAAAAATTCTGTTTAATAATCTACTCGAACACTGTTTTTGTATCTATGCAGAAAATAAAAATGGTGGATACTTCAGTTCCAAAATCAGCCTTTTGTCCACTTGTAAAACCAATCAAATAAATTGTATTTTAATAAATAGAAATTATATTTTTTATGCCATATTATACACGTTTTATTAACTTAAACAATAAATTTTTCTTAATTTTATAAAAAAAAAGATCTTAATAGCTTGAATGAGAAAAATTATACAAGTTTTTTCGCTCTTGCCAAAAAATTTCAAGTGAATTTAACGACTTTTGCCAACGGGCTATTCAAATATAATAATTAACAGCGGAAACACGATTACTCGACAACGAAATCGACTGAATCAAGACATATGAGGCGTATTCGAAAAGCAATAATTTCCGGTAGGCTATAAAAAAATTAAAAATATACTTTAATTACTTTTCCATGCAATCGTCACTTGAATTGAGACATTCGTCATATCGGAAGCTTGTCAATTCTATCTGTAAAAAAATCTGGGGCCAGAATGAGCTCAAGTATGTGAGAATATGTTGTTCTGTAATGGAACGATCCAGGAAGTCAACATAACACGCTTTTTATTTTGAATGCTTAGCCCTCCCAAACTTTCTAAGCATCTCACAATACACATAAGAAATTATTATGGTTCCTTGTGCTCTAAAGTTAATAACTAACACTTTTTTTATGTCCCAAAAAAAATTGCCGTGAGTTGTTCCCTGTCAGTCAATTACTGAGCTCATTTTGGCGGCAAACTTCTTTGCAGAGAAAATTGATAAGCTAATTTTTCGATATGATAGATTTCTCAATTTGTCAAAAATAAGGCTTTGCATAAAAAATTTTATTTTACATTTTTTAAATTATATTTGCATGTAGAATTCGTATATTTTCGGTTGTACATACCAGTTCGGAGACGTCTTGTATAAATCACAAGGAACACAAGATGATGAAAAGTCAAAACAAATTTGCAGTCACATTCAGAAAAGTATCTTGATATTCTTCACCGAACGCGATCTCTCGTCGAATTGACGAGCAAACTTTGTACACAACAAGTGATTATCGATTGCACATGCGTCCTCAGGGCAAAGACGTCAATTACGTTCGGTTTATAAACTTTTCCAGAAGTTGGCGCAGGCGTATTTCAAACGTAGTTTTAGCCGAAGCGCTGACCATTGTGGACAGTGCATCGGTCGCTTTCGCGAAGTGATCATGAACACAAATTCAAAACGTGATTTGAAAAGCTTTGATTTCGAAAATATCAGTGACTATAGCCTACAATTAAACCGATGGTTTCTCATATCGCTCGGTGCTTGGCCACAAGGCACATCGAGCACAGTAAAGAGGATCGTCGTATCAATGCAAATTCTCATTTTTTCAAGCTCGATAGCTATCATTACGATACCTTGCATGTTGTACGTGTCGTTTGAAAGAGAAGACATCCAAACTAAATTAAGCGCCGTTGTTCCGTTACTTCATAGAATTATGGGCTCGGTAAATTACTGGACGTTACTTACGCGCCACAAAGACATATACAATTGTATACGACACATGGAGACGGACTGGAAACTCGTCCAAAAAATCGATGACCGTGAAGTGATGCTACAATACGCTAAAATCGGCCGCTTCATGGCAGGGTTCTGCGCGGTGTTCATGCACGGTAGCGCATTTTTTTTCACCGTAGTGCGGGCGATCAAAACCACGACCATTACAGTCGGCAACGAAACCTTTACTATGCATCCGATGACATGTCCGGTGTACAGTAAGATCATCGATGCGAGATTCAGTCCTGCGAACGAGATCTTTCTGGGCGTGCAGGTTTTCTCGGCGTTTGTAGTAGGTTCCTCTACAGTTGCTGTTTGTAGTCTTGCCGCTGTCTTTGCCATGCATGCTTGTGGCCAACTGAATGTATTATATATGTGGTTGAACGAACTTGTCAAGTACGATGAGAAGAAAAATTTAGCGGAGCAAAGATTAGCTGCTATTGTGGAGCATCATTTGAGAGTCCTTAGGTACTTTATTTAACAGTCGAGCTTGGATTGCACATTACACGAATTTATTTTTATTAAATATGACATTATTTAGAAATCGGATATTTCCATTGCATGATAAAATTACATATCTTTTTTTGAACCTAAAAGAAAAGTTGGTCATTATTTATCCGTGTACAAACTTGGATGAAAACATAATGATAAAAATGTATTAATTATATATTAGACTAATTTGTATGTAGATATTCTGTTTCAAAAAATTTTGCACTATTTTGTTTGAACTACAAAGATATGTTCAGTTTTATAGCAAATATGGAAAGTATTATGCATAAAGCTTGTCTGGCGGAATTGATGGGATGCACATTAAACATGTGTTTACTTGGATATTACTCTATTATGGTACGTTAGAGCAAATAAAATTATTTTAATTAACAGAATAAGTTCGATAAAAAACTAATTAATTATGTCTTTTACAATAAATTTAGATAGTAATTGATTTTTCAGAATTGGGCTGCATTTGATGCAGCAAAGATATTATCGTATGTTACTGTATATATGTCGATGAGTTTCAATATATTCATATTCTGTTACATTGGTGAGATACTAACAGAACAGGTAATAAAAGAGATAAAAATAATTAGGTGTGCGCGCGCGTATGAAAATTTTTCTAACTTAATTATAAAATATAATATCATCTTTCAATTATAAAAACGTTAAATTAATTCCATGCTTGTTTATTTCTATTCTTAATATATTTTTAAATATAATTACGTTTTAATTTTACATTCTTTAATGTTTTTTTATTCTTGTCTTCAAATTCATTTGGAAAATTAAAATTTATCATAAAAATTGTTAGCTATATTTATTTATTAGTGCAAACATGTTGGGGAGATAGCATATATGACCAATTGGTATAAACTGCCTCACAAAACTGCACTCGGCCTCGTATTGATAATCATGCGATCGAGTTTGGTAATCAAAATAACTGCGGGGAAATTATTTCAACTATCCATCGCAACTTTTGGCGATGTGAGTAAGTTCATGGACACGTGTGTCACTGTTCTAATGACATACTATAAAAAAATTTCAAAACAAACTAATTTTTTTTACTAATTACAACAAATCTTACAATTCTATAATAATTGATCTATTTAATTTTGCATCTTAAGATATTAGGATTTTTGGAATAAATATTGATACCAAGCTGTGAAAACTTTTCAGAATTTATATTGTTATTAGAAATGAAAATTGTATTGTTTCAGATAATTAAAACTTCCATGGCATATTTGAATATTTTGCGAACAATGACTACATAAAATATAGTAAGTCAGAAAATTGCGAAACACACACATGGAATGTTTTCCAAATAGAATAGATATTTAATAAAATATCGATATATAACAGAATTAAATTTTTCTCAAAAACAAAAATAACATCCTTGATGATTTTCCCGAAATTGAGTAATCAAAGCTCAATACTTTGCAAAATTTGCACTTATATCCATTAAAGTATTTTCATATTTCTTTCTAAATGCGGTTCTCTCACGCGGTTCTCTCACGAAACTGACAAAACAAAACACCTGCTACAAGAAACAACTATCGATCCGACATGCATGCAACGTCCTCAATCAAAAAATATAGCCAAACGTTCATCAAACTTCTTCAGAAGTTGACGCAAGCGTTTATTCGAATACAGTCTTTATCAAAGCACTTCAGTGCACCAGGAACTTTCGCAAAGCGAGCATGGCACATCCGAAACGTGATTTGAAAAATGTTGATTTCAAAAATATCAATGCATATAGTTTACAAATAAACCGATGGTGTCTCAAGCCGATTGGTGCTTGGCCAATAACAAGCACATCGAGTATACTAGAAAAGATTGCCGCATTAGTACAGATTCTCTTTTGTTCAGTTACAATAGGAATTGTTACGATATCATGTATATTATATGTATTATTGGAAGACAAAAACTTTGCAACGAAACTGGGCGCAGTCGGGCCACTGCTTCACAGAATTATGGGCTCTCTAAGTTACTGGATGCTGCTCAAATGCAGCCGCGACATTCACGACTGCATGCAACACATGAAGACAGATTGAAGGATTATACAAAAATTTGAGGATCGCGAAATAATGTTGCAATATGCTAAGTTCGGTCGTTTCATCGCCGGAATTAGCGCTGCAATTACGCAAGGCGGTCAACTCTTTTTCGGCACAGCCAAAGAGCAATGAGAACTACGACTATTACAGTCGGCAACGAAACGTTTACGACGCATCCGATGACATGTCCGGCGTACAGCAAGATTCTTGACACGAGATTTAGCCCAATAAACGAAATTATGCTAGCTATACAATTCGTATCGGCATTTGTAGTGAGTTCTGCCATAGTGAGTGTTTGTAGCCTCGCTGGTGTCTTCGCGATGCACGCTTGCGGTCAGTTGAACGTGTTGTACGCGTGACTGAACAAACTCGTCCAGACTTACGAGGAGAAAGGACATCATTCGGTTGACGAAAAATTGGCAGCTATCGTGGAGCATCACTTGAGAGTTCTAAGGTATTATATTTTACTATTGAGCTTTGATTACACACGGTGTGTTTTCATATGCGTGATGCCATTCAAAAATCAATATATATTTTTCTGTTATATTTTATAATAAAGGTGATAAGAAAAAATACATCTTCGATCAATTCTTGCGCAGATGTCTTGTTAACAAAAGCTATTGCTACAATTGTTACGATATCATGCGCTGAAAGCAATAATATAAATATGTTACAGTTTTATAGCAAATGTGGAAAATATTATGCATAAAGTTTGTCTCGCGATATTGATGGGATGCACATTAAATATGTGCATACTAGGATATTATACTGTTATGGTATGTTTAAAAAAATATTTATTATTCTGAAAAAAATTTCTTTTTAATTTAAAATATAATTATTTAATTGAGGTCACTAAAAAATTAAAATTTATCTTTTACGATAAATAAATTTGTTAAACTGATATTTTAGAACTGGGGTGCATTTGACGCAGCAAAAATCCTATCATTTATTACTTTATATACATCAATGGGTTTCAATATATTTATTTTTTGCTACATTGGCGAGATTTTAACAGAACAGGTAACAGACTTGAAAAACAAAACAATTTCTGAAAAATTTGAAAATTATTCTAATTTGTTTGTAACATAAAATCATTTTCATCTATTTTTATAAATACAAAGAAGTATCTCACATTCATTTAAATAGTATATTTTTAAAGAAACAAGTATTGTATTTAAATTGTGTAAAATATTCTTCTATATTGTTAAAAAAATAAAAAAAAGTTTACCTTCAAATTTCTAGATGCTTATAAAAAAATCTAAAAATATCTATTTATTTATTAGTGCAAAAATGTTGGGGAAATGGTATATATAACTAACTGGTATCAATTACCGAATAAAACAGCGCTTTGTTTAATTTTGATAATCATGAGATCGAGTAATGTAATCAAGATGACTGCAGGAAAGTTAATTAATTTGTCTATCGCAACGTTTGGCGATGTAAGTAACACACATGTGTAATATACTAATCAATGTAATAAATAAGAAATTCTACTCACTTCAATTGCCAATTATACTCTACTCAAATGTTTAAAAATTTTCTTAGCAAAATCGTAACATGAACGGAAACAAAAACCTTTTTGTTTCAGGTAATTAAGACTTCCATGGCGTATTTAAATATTTTGCGAACGATGACTACATAAAACATATTTATTTAGAAATGTAGTTAATTAGAAATGTAGTATGTTAGAAATTTAGAAAACATATTTTATATAGAATAGATGTAATACTTGCCAAGTAGAAGAATTTGTATTAAATATATTTAATTGTCACAACGTACACAGTAAGCTTTTTTACGAATACATTTTTCAAAGACTTGAATGATATCCTCTCATGATTTTTCTGAAAAAATAAATAACTGAACCTCAATACTTGACGAAATTTGCACTTACTTCCGCAAAAGTATTCCTATATTTCACTCGAAATGTGGCTATTCCAAATTAGCAAAACAAAGCAGAACTTGTTGTTACGAACGGTTATTGATTAGAAACGTGCAGGTGTTCGCAGAATGAAAAGATATCAATGTAAGCGTTTGTCAAACTTTATTCAAAGTTGGCGCAAGCGCTTGTTCGAATACAACTCTCACCGGAGCATTGCGAACTTCAGTGCCTCGGGTACGTCCGTGAAGGAATCATGACAAATCCTAAACTTGTGCCAACAAGTGTTGAATTTAAAGGACACAATGATTATAGTCTTCAATTAAATCGATGGTTCCTGAAACCGATCGGTGCTTGGCCACAAATGGATGCATCGCACACGATATGGAAGATCCTCGTGTCGCTACAGATTTTTATCTGTTCGACTATGGTGGCAGTGATAACGGTACCGTGTCTATTATACATCTTATTGGAAGAAAGTGACATCAAGTTGAAACTGGGCGCCCTTGGGCCACTGTTTCACAGGATTATGGGTTCGATAAATTACTGGGTATTGCTCAAACGTAGTGACGACATTCGCGATTGCATACGGCACATGGAGACAGATTGGAGACTCATACGAAGAACCCAAGATCGCGAGGTGATGCTGCAGCACGCCAAATTCGGCCGCTTTGTCGCCGGTATTTGTGGCGTAATTATGCAGGGCGGTACGTTTATGTTCAGTATAGCCAGAGCGATGAAGACCACAACGATCACTATCGACAACCAGACTTTTACGACGTATCCAATGACGTGTCCGATTTACAGCAACCTGATTGATATAAGATTCAGTCCCGTTAACGAAATCGCGTTAGTTATACAGTTCCTGTCAACCTTCGTGGTGAGTTCTTCTACTGTCGGTGCTTGCAGTCTGGCCGCCGTCTTCGCTATGCATGCTTGTGCTCAACTGAATGTGCTGTATATATGGCTGGACGAACTCGTTACAAATGAGAAAAAAGAAAACAGAAAGCTGGTTGAACAAAAACTGACCATTATCGTGGAGCATCATTTAAGAGCGTTGAGGTACATCGTAAAAAAAGTACACATTAGAAAGGCACATTTTGGACGCAAACATTTCATATACTCATTTTAATAAGAGAATGATGCTGTTTAATACAGATACCCGTATAGTTTTGTTACAATTATAAAATTGATTCTTTTTTATTTGTGAAAAACAAATTTGTTATGTCCACGATTTGTATTTAATTCATGTGCGGATTTCTTTTGAAAAAAAATGTTATTATCTGCGTATGTACGTTTCAGCTTTATATCACGTATAGAGAGCATTATGCATAAAATCGCTCTTGTAGAATTGACGGGATGCACTATAAACATGTGTTTAATAGGATATTATTCCATTATGGTATGCTAAAGATGTAAAACGATAGATATCTCATAAAATGTACCAGTAATTCTTTTATTACAAAGGCAAAGATTTTGCTATCTTTTGTTATCAAATCGATTTTAAAAAAAACATAGATTAATTTTTTTCAGGCATGGCAAGTGTTCGATGCAGCAAAAATAACATCTTACATTATTGTATACGTATCATTGTGTTTCAATATCTTTATATTTTGCTACATCGGAGAGATTATTACAGAACAGGTAACATTTTCAGAATAAAATAATATTTTACGTGTTTGAAAGCTTAATGAATAGTCTTATAAAATTTTGTATATAAAAAAATGTACATAAAATTCTTAGGCTTTTATAAAAAAATGCTAAAGTGTAATTACCTCGTCTTTAACAAAGCTGAACGCTTGAATAGACGCGTTTGCGTCTTTTGATATTTCTTTAAAGCCTGATTATATTAAATTTTCAAATGGTTATAAACAACTTAAAAGTGTGTATAATAATTTATTAGTGTAAACATGTTGGAGAAATGGCATATATGACTGATTGGTATAAACTGCATCACAAAACTGCGCTTGGTCTCGTTTTGATAATTGCACGATCGAGTAATGTGATCAAGATTACCGCAGGAAAATTATTTCAATTATCTATTTCAACTTTTGGTGATGTGAGTAATACATATAATTCTCATAACAATCTTCCAATAATAAAAAATCAACAAATTGTATCCTATTTATATTTTGTTAATACAAATTATAATAATTTTATAGCAATTTGATTGCTTGGGATTATATTATTTATTGTCTTAAAGCACATGACAATCATATTTTTCATTTATTTATTAATTATTTCAGATTTTACATATATAATTTTCAGAATAGTTATTTGCATTATTTATCTGCATAAAGATGAACAAATAAGATTTGTTGTTTCAGGTAATTAAAACTTCCATGGTATATTTAAATCTCTTACGTGCGCTGACTATGTGAAACATAGTAAGCATAGAATATATATATTTTGTATAGAAAAAATAAATATATATGTATATCCTCAATATAACATAAAGATTTAATAGATAAAATTGACGTTTGCCAAACTTAAACATCGACTATTGAATTATTTGTAAAAAAATTGTGCAATATAATTTTCTATTTTTTTCAAATATTTATTATATTAATATTTAACATCTTCTAAAATACTAACCTTCTTGTCACGCAAGATAATACATAACAACAATTTATTTATTTAATGAATATACGGAAAAGATAGCTGAAAATGTAATCTGAGAAGAAAACAGTTCATAAGCTACAACTCTCTTCTGTGAATTTCTATCCTTAATTACAGTCCTCATAAAACACAATGTTCTCTCAGGACTGAAATGTAAACTTTCGTAACACTCAACTATTGATCGGACATGTGCGTGTCTTTTTCATAAAAACTATAATCGTTCATCAAACTTTTCCGAAAGTTGGCGCCAGCGCTTATTTAACCCCCCGGTTAAAATGTGTTGCTCCGCTAGTGGCAGTGCTCCGCGCAACTTTGTGAAGTAACCACAGTCGAATACGGAGCGTGCAAGAAATGCTAAACAGAAAAAGCATAGCGACTACAGTTTACAATTTAACCGATGGTGCCTCATTGTGATTAGTGCTTAGTCACAAACTTAGCGAGAAACTTTCCAAAACTTTCCAACGGTGATACTCATTTGTACGGTGGCGACAGTGATTATTATGCTACCATGCTTCTTGAATATGACAGAAATTTCGAGGCAGAAGATATAAAAGTGTGAATGTGAAGAGTGTGGTCTAATTAGTGAAGTTACCTATATGACAAATTGACATCTGTTACCTGGGAATACTGTTCTCGGCCTCGTTTTGATAATTTCAAGATCTAGCATCACAATTAAAATCTGCTGATTTATCTGTTCTCTCTCTCTCTCTCTCTCTCTCTCTGTTAAATTTTCAATATATATTTGAAATATTAATATACATCATGATCTCATTACTAAACATAAATTTGTTGTCTTACTTGCTGATAAATAATAGACACAGTTTACAGTATAATTGTATGCTGAAAACTGTAACATCCAGTGCATGAAATTTTAGATCTAAATATTGATTATACGTTACTTCTACCTGTTGCCACAACAACTGCATATTATCATAATAATACTTAAATATTTCTTTGTGATATAAAAATATTTCTTTTTGGTCATACGTTTAATTATTTAATAATAAAATCAAATTGATATAAATACTTAATTGTTTTGGGTAATTAAGACTTCTGTAATATATTTAAATCTTTTAATAAATAAGTATATGTCTATCCTTAAAATATATATATACTTATATATATATACCAGAAAAATTTATATAAATAAAATTGATATTTTTGCCAGTGTTAAACATTAACTATTAAGCTATTTGTAAAAAATGACCCAATAAAATTTTATAATTTTTAAGTACCTATTATTAATATTTAACATCTTATAAAATACTAATCTTCTTATTATCATGCAAGACAATACACTATAGCAATTAATTTATTTAATGAACATACGGAAAATATAGCTGAAAATGCTGATCAAAAAACAAACCACTTCACAAGCTATAACTCTCTTCCACGAATCTGCCCTTACAGTCTTCATAAAACACGTTGTTTTTCAGGACTGACAATATATACTCTCATGAGACACCAGGTTATTGATCGGACATATGTATTTTTCTCAGCAAAAGTACAATGCATAATCGTTCGCCAAACTTTTCCCAAAAGTTGGCGCAGGCGCTTCTTTGTATTCGCACAACTCTGCTGTAACTACTCCCACCACTAAACCACCACGGGCACCAAACTATCCCCATTAGTGACAGTACTCCGCGCAACTTTGTAAAGTAATCATGTGGAATACGAAGCGTGCAGGAAATGCTAAACAGAAAAAGCATAGCGAGTACAGTTTACAATTTAACCGATGGTGCCTCATTGTGATTGGTGCTTGGCCGCAAACCAGCGCATCAAACATAATGGAGAAAATTTCCACAATAGTGCTGATACCGATTTGTACGGTTGCGATAGTGATTATTATGCTACCATGCTTTTTATATGTGACACTCGAGGCAGAGGATATACCGTCCAAATTGAATGCCATAGGTCCAATGCTTCATAGAGTTATGGGTTCGGTAAATTACTGGACGCTGCTCAGTCGTAGTCGTGACATTCAAAATTGCATACGACACATGGACGCAGATTCGGAGCTGATACAAAGAGTCGGTGATCGCGAGATAATGCTGCGCTACGCCAAGATTGGTCGCTTTATGGCCGGGATCTGCACGTTATTCATGCACACTAGCGCATTTTTTTTCAGTATAGCCAAGGCGGTGAGAACCGTTAGCATCATTGTGGATAACGAAACCATCACAATGTATCCAATGACGTGTCCAATTTACCGAAAGTTTATCGACGCCAGATTTAGTCCTGTGAATCAAATCATGTTGGGTGTGCAGTTCTCGTCTACCTTCGTAGTGAGTTGCTCCACAGTGGGTGTGTGCAGCCTTGCTGCCGTCTTTGCCATGCACGCTTGTGGTCAACTAAACGTATTATATGTGTGGTTAAAAGAACTTTCCGAAGATAATGAAGAAGAAGCTGAACACAAATTGGCTGCTATCGTGGAGCACCATTTGAGAGCCCTCAGGTATTTTTATTTAACAGTTAAGTTTTAATTATACTCAGCATAAAGTTGAATTATAATATTAATTTCAAACGGGATAAATACATTTTTGTATTATTATACTAAATTATATATATATTTTTTTTCTATGTTATTTAAATTGTGTTTTTATTTACGTTAAGTAAGTATATATATATTAAATTATCAGGACAATAACAATTTTAATATGTTACAAAAAAACATTTTGTCGCGTTACATATATATGGTCGTATTATAGTATATATATGTATATATAGTTATATATGTATGTATATACATGTTTTTCCAGTTTTGTAGCGCGCGTGGAAAGTATTATGCATAAAGCCTGTCTCGTGGAAATGATGGGATGCACGTTAAATATGTGTTTACTTGGATATTATTGCATTATGGTACGCGCTAAGGATTTTTAAAGATTACGTAAACATGTTATTAAAAGTGCATTATAATTTTTTTTGGGAGAACAGAAAATTATTTTTTGTTTCATTTATAGAAATTGGAGAAACAGTGTAGCGTTCTTCTCATACAATAAATAAATTTGAATTTTCCAGAATTGGGGTGCATTTGATGCAGCGAAAATAGCATCATATATTCTTGTGTATCTATCAATGTGTTTTAATATTTTCATATTTTGCTATATTGGCGAGGTACTCACAGAACAGGTAATAAATTGAGATCATAAATAAGCATTTATGGGATGTAAAAACTTAATTGCAGAAATGTAGTTACATATTTAATAAGAGAAAACTATTGTATTGAAAAGTTTTGTTTTATATCTTATAAATCAAATAAAATTCTTGGGCCTCTTACAAAGATTTTAAAATGTTTGTGTTTATTTATTAGTGCAAAAATGTTGGGAAAATGGCGTATATGACTAAATGGTATAAATTACGTAACAGAACTGCGCTTGGTCTCGTTCTAATAATAGGACGATCAAGTAATGTAACTAAGATGACTGCAGGAAAGTTATTTCATTTATCTATCACAACTTTTGGCGATGTAAGTAAAAAAATGTATAATTTATATAGTCATCTATATTAAAAAAAAATCGAATTTAATAACGCTTAAATCTTTCAACTTTACTATTAAAACTTTTTATTTTTAAATAGTTTATTTATGATAAGAGTAAATAAAAAAAGAAATCTTTTTATTTTAGATAATTAAAACATCTATGGCATATTTGAATATATTGCGAACAATGGCTACGTAAATTAAAATAAATTAGAAAATATAAAAAACGTTTTATATAGAATATATATAAATTTTATATAGAATATTTATAGATAAAATATTTTTCAAATAGAACAAATATTTATACAATCAAATTAATTGCTATAATTAAAAGAGAATAAATTTGTTGCCAATCATTGTTTTGATCTTAAAAACGACATGTAAAGATACTCGCATTTATTAAAGCCGTTTTTCCGCGACGCCGATTTATTATCTCAATGTGCGTTACTTTGTACTATCAAGCAGTTATCATTGCAAAGTTGCATACTTTGATAGTTCATATTTTGAAAAGGTTAGTGTATTTTTTTTATTATTTTTGTGTTTTATGGAAAATATCCAAAGTGTCTTCCTAGAGTTATACACTGAAAAAATGGGGGAAAAAGGACCAAGTCTTAGAGTTACATAAATTTGATCTGTTATTAATATTTAACATCTTATAAAATATTAATCTTCTTATTGTCATGCAAGACGGTATAGCAATTAATTCATTTGACGAACATACGGAAAATATAGCTGAAAATGCTGATCAAAAAACAAACCACTTCACAAGCTATAACTCTCTTCCACGAATCTATCCTTACAGTCTTCATAAAACAAGTTGTTTTTTCAGGACTGACAATATAATCTCTCATGAGACACCTGGTTATTGATCGGATATATGTATTTTTCTCAGAAAAAGTATAATGCATAATTGTTCGCCAAACTTTTCCGAAAGTTGGCGCAGGCGTTTTTTTGTGTTCGCACAACTCCGGTTGCAACTACCCCCTAATGACTATATTTCGTGCACTTTCGTGAAGTGATCATGTCGAATTCAAAGTGTGTGCTAGGAAGTAAAAAAGCATAATGATTACAGTATGCAATTGAGTCGATGGTTCCTGATTTTATGATTAAAACTATATTTTATATAGAATATATTATAGATGGAATATTTCCCAAATGGAATAAATATTTGTTAAATAATATTAATTATTACAATTTTAAATTAACAAAATTTAATTTTTAATCATTGCAAATATAAGCTTGATAGTAGAAACAGGTTTTTCAACCATCTTACGTTATGAGCTGTGCTTGGCTATTTCATTTTGGTAAAATAAGTTTTATTGATTAGAATGAAGTTTCACCCTTATTTTGGAAGCAATCAATATAAGCGCAAGCATTACACTGTTCAACTTTTCACAATCATGTCCATCATGTCCTTGTAAAACAAATAAACAAAAGAAAACTGATAATAACCATTGAACAAAACGAGTTTATTCCAAAAAGTACTTATGAATTTTTTTATAAAAAGATACAGAAATAAATAAGTTACAATGAAGGTACCTTACATAGAAACAAAAAAAAGAGGGAATTGCGTGACCTGACAGTTTGCCACTCTTGCTGTTTCTCCCACAATGCATCCACCATCGCGTTTCAATTTGCTATCACCGTAAATATCGATTATCTGTTCTGAGAGACGTGTATTAAACGAAAGCATAGTCAGCATACCGCGCACGCGTTATACCGCGACTATTACCATGCGTGCGTTTCGAGTAGTCGCGACTGCTCAATTGTACCGGTGCGTTTGCGAAGCAAGCAGGAAGAGTCTCCTGCAAGATTCTCCAATTATGTCGAATTATCTGGAAGACAAGGAATATAGCATACAGCCGATCCGTTGGCTGCTGAAGCCAATAAGCGTTTGGCCGGTGAAGAAATCATCGTACAAGGAAAGGATTCTTTCCAGAGTATTGTTGATAGTGTGTATTTTTCTGATCGTCAGCACTTTAGTGCCTTGCGCGTTGGCTGTCTTCCTGGACGAGACGAAAGACTTGGAAACGAAGGTGCGCGAGTTCGGCCCGCTCAGCAATTGGCTGCTGGCGAGCCTCAAGTATTGCGCATTGCTGATGCATGTCGGCGACATAGGCCAATGCATTGAGCACATTGAGACCGACTGGCGGACCGTGACGAAAATCGAGGAGCGAGGGCTTATGCTGAGAAACGCCAGAATCGGTCGTTTCATCGCAATATTTTCCGCAATATTCGTGCACTGTGGCGTGTTCTCATACAACATCTTCCGAGGAATGACAATGGATGAGTCCGCCACTAAAGAGGACAATACGTCAATGTATTCGTTGCCTTTCGCATTCTATGACAAAATCCTTGATACTACGATTAGTCCGGCATACGAAATAGTGTTCGCGATTCAGTATCTATCTACGTTCGTAGTAAATTCCGTGGGAGTAGGCACTTGCAGCATTACCGCCGTTTTCGTAATGCACGCCTGTGGTCAACTGAAGATTCTTATGTCCTTGCTAGACAATCTCGTCGATGAAACGAACGAAAAGAGGGATTCCACGCAACAAAAATTTGTTGTTATCGTTGAGCATCATTTGAGGGTACTTAAGTAAGTATATGAAAAATAATTTAATTGTAGATTTTTTGTACTATATGTAATCAATATCGATTACTTTTCGTCTTTATTTTAATAATATGCTAAATATTGTTTAAATAATGTATGTTAATTTGTTATTGTATAAATATATTCTAAAATATATTGTAATGATCTATAGAGACGCGAGAGGAAATATACAAATGATTAATTATTCTGACATTTGTTATATATTTCAATTATTTCAATTTATCATATATTCCTAAATATATTTTCAGCTTTGTATCTCGCATAGAGAAAATTACGAATGTAGTTTGTCTCGTAGAAATAGTAGGATGCACAATGCATATGTGTCTTTTGGGCTATTATTGTATACTGGTACGCACATTATGAAAGTTACATTTGTTATCCATTGCCCATGCATTATTTGTTTATTCGCTAACGAATTAGCGAATATTTTTTAGGATTGGAGTCAAGATGAGAAAGAAGGCATAGTCGCGTATTGTATAATACTAATTTCAGTTACATTCAACATCTTTATATTTTGTTATATCGGAGAAATTCTTTCAGATCAGGTAACCACGTAATATTCATTATAAATGTCGAAGATGTTATCTTGTGATCATAAATCAGAAACTTTATGCTTCTAATAGCAAATTAATATTACATTGTAATTTTTCGTATGTGAAACGCGATATCGCCGCGAACATATTGTCCGATTTAATCATAACAGGTATATAAAACGGCCTATAACAGTGTGGCCAAGTTGGTGAAATTGCCTATATGACAAATTGGTATCTATTACCTGGGAATACTGCTCTCGGCCTTGTTCTGATAATATTAAGGTCCAGCATCATAATCAAAATCACCGCTGGGAAAATGATTGAACTCTCCCTTTCTACCTTCGGAAATGTAAGTATCTAAATCAAAATATATATAATTTTAATTTACAGATGTATAATTTACATAGATAATATTTCGTGCACAATTATTTATTTAAAAAATTAATAATTATAGCTAAATAAATATATTCTTTTTGACAATATAACTAATAATTGTTTCAGGTAATTAAATCCGCGGTAGCATACTTAAATATACTTCGTACTCTTATGTAAACGCTTATAATTTTTTAAATTTAAAACAGATTGTAAAAAATAAATAGTAATCAATTATGTGAATAATTAAATGATAATCATATTGATATGAGAATATTATGTGACATTTTCACTATTTTTAAAGCAAAGCATTATTTAAGTATTATACTCGCTTCGTTAAACTTTCAATATACACTCACCCGAAAAAAAAGCGGTACACTGAAAATGTGGGAAAAATTCATCAAATTTCAACTGACGATAACTTCGTAAATAATAAAGATAGAAAGTTCTATAAAATATGGAAATGAAGCTAAAAATCTCTACTTTAAGAATCAATTTATTTCAATGTTGCAAAATAAATTTATTGAAAATGGCGGATGACAAAGCGCGAGCATGCAAAATTGAAAAATAATGGTTCGAGTTTGCGACGGTGCACGGTATAAACAAAAAATTGTAGCTTATTGGGATCAAAAGCGTACGAAAGTACAGAGTCTCCTCTTTAAAATGCTTTTTTATGCATCTCGATACGATGATTTTTCGCTGAGAGATTCGCATTTGAAGTAAGAATCTGCCTTTTTCTTCAAATGCGAATCTCTCGGCGAAAAATCATCGTATCGAGATGCATAAAAAAGTATTTTAAAGAGGAGACTCTGTACTTTTGTACGCTTTTGATCCCAATAAGCTACAATTTTTGTTTATACCGTGCACCGTCGCAAACTCGAACCATTATTTTTCAATTTTGCATGCTCGCGCTTTGTCATCCGCCATTTTCAATAAATTTATTTTGCAACATTGAAATAAATTGATTCTTAAAGTAGAGATTTTTAGCTTCATTTCCATATTTTATAGAACTTTCTATCTTTATTATTTACGAAGTTATCGTCAGTTGAAATTTGATGAATTTTTCCCACATTTTCAGTGTACCGCTTTTTTTTCGGGTGAGTGTATATTGTGCAATATTAATATACATCACGGTCTCATTAACAAACGTAAATAACTTTGTGTTGCTTGCTGATAAATAATAGAATGCAGTTTATAATGTAATTGAACACTCAAAACTGTAATGTGCAGTGCATGAAAGTTCAGACCTAAGTATCGATTACATGCTACTTCTACCTGTTGCCGCGACAGCTGCATATTACCATAATAATACACAGCACAATACATTGTAAGAACCACGTTTCGCATTACGTTCGATCTCCGCGCACGCGCTGACCGTTTCCACTGCATACGGCAGGGAAGGAAAAGCTCAGTAAGCTAGCTCAGTAGGCTAGCTACCACCATCAGAAAACCATGGAAAGGAATCGCATAAATGACCCCAGCACTCACACGTCCACATATTTAGTTGACAATGAGTATAGTATTCAAATAATCCGCTGGATTCTCAAAGCGATAAATTTATGGCCCCGTCCTGTTGACGCTTCGATCATCGAAAAAATCTTTTCCGAATTTCTGACATTCATGTGTTACATTTTAATAATCAGTACTATGATACCAAGCGGTCTAGGTATCCTCATCGAGTCACAGGAGAGTTACGACGCCAAGTTGCGTAACATCGGCCCGCTCACCTTCTGGTTCATGGCGATGGTGAATTATTCCTTTCTCGTGACACACATCGAGGATATACGCATCTGCATCGAGCACGTGAAAAAAGATTGGCAAATCGTCAAGAAGAGCGAGGATCGGGAAATAATGTTGAGGAACGCCAAAATAGGTCGATTCATCGCAGGGTTTTGCGCTGTGTTCATGCACAGCGGTGTGTTCTCGTACAATACCATCCGCGGCTTATCCAAGGATATCATATACGTGGGAAATAGTAGCGTATTGGTTCGCGCGCTACCTTATCCCTTCTGGAGCAAGATTCTGGATGCGCACTTTAGTCCGGCGTACGAGTTTGTGTTCTTTTTACAGTGCATTTCGACTTTCGTTGTCAACTCTGTCACAGTCGCCGCATGCGGTCTGACGGCAGTTTTTGTGATGCACGCGTGTGGACAGTTAAAAATTCTAATATCCTGGTTGGACGATTTCGTGAACGAAGGAAACGAGGAGAAAGTATCTGTGAGACAAAAGTACGCGATAATTGTACAGCATCATTTGAGAGTACTACGGTAAGTTACCATTCCTGGCGGCATAGATTTTTGCAATATAACGCTTTAGTACTTTCCAGATTTAATATAATAAACTTTTGATAAATTTTATTTAATATTTTTCACATTTACAACACGATTAAGATTTAATCTCACACTGAGAGTTGATAAAAAAAATTTTTTGGACACAAATGTTATACATAATTCACATTTGAACAAAAAATTCTGATTATGAGAAATGATTACGATAAATTGTTATGTATACCAAATTTGCAGTTTTGTATCTTATATAGAAAGAATTACAAACATGATATGTCTCATGGAATTAGGCGCATGGTACAATGCACATGTGTCTCTTAGGATATTATTGTATTATGGTACGGAAACTATGTATATATAATTTATTATTATTGTTTTTCACATGCTTGTATTCCGAATGTCTTTTTAGGATTGGGCTCATGATAACAAACAGAATATCGTGTCGTATTGTATGATATTAACTTCGGTTACTTTCAACATTTTTATATTTTGTTACATCGGGGAAATCCTTTCCGAGCAGGTAACATTTAAAAATAAAAATAAAAATAAAAAATGTTACGCTATAATAAAAATAAAAACTGTGCGATACAGGAACAATCATATTCATGTGAAATACTACATTAAAATACAATATTGTTCGTCTCCCTTCAATTTTAAATCATAACAGATATACATATAAAACGGCCTCTAATAGGGCGGACAAATTGGTAAATCTGCTTACATGACAAATTGGTATCTTTTGCCTGGAAAAACGGCTCTTGGGTTCATTTTGATAATTTTAAGGTCCAATGCTGCCCTTAAAATTACTGCCGGAAAGATTGTTCAGCTCTCATTTTCCACTTTCGGTGATGTAAGAAGATAAATTTTTCTCAATACATACGTATAATATAGTGAATATGCAATTTCCGTTCTGTGAAGAATATCATCCATAAATACGATTAAAATTTTATTAATTTATAATATTTATATAATATTTAAGTTATTTGTTAAAGAATTGAGCAGAGATACACAATTTCTAATTGTTTCAGGTAATTAGATCTGCATTAACATATTTAAATTTACTTCGGCAAGTAATCACATAAATAATGCAAATTCCAGCGGGAGGAAGATATGCTAGATAATTTATAGCTAATTTATAATAATTTAATATAGATGCCTAATAAATCCTTTATGTAATATTCTTTTATTACTTGAATAAGCATCTATTATTCAATGCAGAAATAATAAATTAATAAAACGCCATCTCTTAAAACATTATTCTCATTTATTAAATGTATATTTTAATTCGTAATATAAATTTTAATTCTCACATAAATGAATTTTATAGCATATTTTTAATGTTCTTTTTTAAATTTATTCTCTGCGATTATAATTTATCATCTTTCCAACAAAATCTAAATTTCTCTCATTTCTGGATATTTTCTATTTAACAAAAAATTTTATCATATTATAGCAGTTATAATTAAAAATTACCCCCGCTATTAATTTACTCTATCTGTTACTGCATGCGTTATATGCTTTTATAACAATACAGAATTATAATAAAATCTTTTTATGTTTTCTATATTAGCATAGCGTACAATATACCCATAAATCTATCTATTACTATTAAATTAACAGTGAAGCAATGAAGTCGTTCAGTGATAATGAAACAACTTCCATTGAACAATTGAAGAACATGCGATCTTCACTGTTGCCACTTACCTAACCGACAAAAGGCGCAGTGTTTAGCTGATCTGATGATTATTGAAAACGGTGTCTCTAGACTTGCTTAACCAATAATGCTTCTATTGTTTGCCAAACGCTCTTGTTATTTCATTTATTTAGGTGTTGTGATATTTAACGTGATGGTACTGTTCAATGCAGCTATCTTCATCGAAGGATGCAGCAATATAGAGACGATGAAGCATATTAGTTTCTTCATCTATGGAATTATGACAAACGTGAATTCTTGTTTATTGAATATCAGCAATATTGACATAGCTATATGAAATGGATAAAAACAAATTGGAGAATGGTAAAAAATATGAAGATTACAAACTAAGAACACTAGGTAATCTTTAATTATTATATTATTTTATTTTACTTTATTTACTTAAAAAAAAAATTTATTGTCTGGAATATTTCTCAAAAATTTTCCAATAAAATCTTAAGAAAATATATTACTTACATAAGAATAAAATTTATGATAAAATATATAAAATTCTAGTTATTTGTCGTATCTATCGGCACTATTCCAAATGGTGTATCATTAACATTTGCTAATTTTTCCAATAAAAATTGTATGTATATATTTAAAATTTTGCATCTATAGAAGAAAACTCTTTAATATGGGCTTTAATATGGAGTCATGGAATTAACAGTTCGGTTATACTATCTCTTGGGATAGAATGTTATCATAAATTACTAAAAAATTAGACTACAGTTCTGACCTAAGTTTTAACATTTTACAGATATGTAACACTTACTAAATGTAGTCAAATGTCACAAGTGAGAATGTGCGGAAATGTAATTTCCAAGATATGGACGCCTCCAAGTACTCGATTTTTCTGGAATCTTCCCCAATGCCCAACGTTAAACGAGAGATAAGCGGTTGAAGTTCTATATTTTCTTGTAGATCTCGACATGCTCCACGCAAAGATAATTCTGTGATCCTATAATCCGAATCTCTATCTCTCATCATTCTGGAGATATAAGCCACAAACAATAATCAAAAGTTTTCAAAAAATTCAAAATATCTCCAAAACTGTGGAAAACAGAGGGATAGTTGATGTGACATTTCTGGGACAATGGATGGTCGACATTTCCGGTTGAAAAACTGAGTGCTTGGAGGCGTTCATATCTCGGAAACTAGTCGTTTCTGAACATTCACATTTGTTGCATTCGACTACATTAAGTGCTATGTGCCTGTAAAATTTTATCACAATCAGTCTTGAGTTGGATACAAAACTTTTATCTAAAATTAGAAGATATTTTTAAAAAATTAGTAAATTACACACACATAAAGTATAATGACACACATGAAATATAAATTATATTAAAAATCTAACTTTTGTATGTATGTGTATAGGTATTAAAACTCTTTTACATAAACAGAAAATCATATTTTTTAAAATAAACAATTTGTATATTATAAAATAAAAATAAATTTTCTAAAAATTTTGTACGCAATTTTTAGAATAAAAATATTTTCTACCGATGTAAATAGTTTATAGTTGAATAACAGTTTTCATAAAATAAAAAATATGCAAGTTGTACTTACAAGTTCCAAAAAACATTAGTGATATATTTAAATATCTCCTGAGCAATAATTCCACAGACTGTGTTATATTCATTTTACATATAGAAATGTGTTTACCGACATAAATTAAGTAGCTTATTATCCCCAATATTGTTATTACATATTTCTTACACATTGCACAAAATGATGAATATAATTTCGAAAAGTCGTTTAAACCTTTAAAAACCAAAATCGTTAATTAATAACCGTTGTTAATTAGTCAAACTCTCACACAGAATTTATCTTTTCCACTTATTATTACACTGTTTTTCTTTAAACGTGTCTTCGTTTCTTGTCGAAATGCGTATATCAAGTAAAATATACGTAGAAGATCGCGTGTTGGTTACAATGGAACTGAAGTCTGAACAGGAAACGCGTTCCCAGTTTATTACGCATTCCCCCTCGATCATGAACAATAGCATCAGAACCCTTCCTGGAGAATACTTCCTTATCCCCCCGAGAGGACTTGCACGCTATGAAGTTCCAAGAATAACTCACTGACGTCTCACTAATAATGAAATGACCAGGTAGAAAGGGTAGAAAGGGTAGAAAGGATCAATTGTATTCACGCAATTTTCAGGGGAAAACGCACATGCGCGCGTGCCACTGACTGCTGACTATCAGTCCACTGACATTTAGTCCGTTATGTGCATCGTCGTGATTTAGTCACCATCATGCTCGATCTTTCAGAATCAAAGTCCCTCAAACCTATCGCGAACGGCTGGAACTATAGTATCCAGCTGAACCGTTGGTTCCTAAAGCCGATCGGCGCGTGGCCTTTGACTCTCTGCGAAACGACAATGGAAAAATTCAGTTGCGTGATCTTGACAATAATTAGTTGCTTCCTAATATGTTTTTTGTTAATCCCGTGCACTCTCTGCACCATTCTGGTGGACACCGATCTTGACACCAAAATCAGAATGATCGGTCCGGTCAGTTTTATCCTAATGGCCGCGATAAAACAATACATTCTTATCGCTCGCAGCGAAAATATCGCTGCGTGCATTCGGCACGTCCACGTGGACTGGAATCGAATCGCGCTAGGTCGTGAAAAGGATCGCGAGATTATGCTGGATAACGCCAAGTTCGGCAGGTGGCTTTCCAGCGTTAGTGCGGTGTTCATGTACTCCGCCGGCATCTTTTTTACTACCGTGATGCCGATCTGTGCGAGGAGAACAGAAATCATTGACAACGAAACAGTGAGATCGCTGTCCTTCCCGATTTACCGCGGTCTTTTTGATCCGAGAACCACTCCGTCCTTCGAGATCGCGCAGTTCGCACAGGCTCTGGCCGGTTACGTCATTTACACGATTACTATCAGTGTCTGCAGCTTAGCCGCGGTGTTCGTCATGCATGCCTGCGGACAATTCCAAATTCTCATGATGAAGCTGGAAGATCTGGCGGACGGGAAAGAGAGAAAGAGCGCCCGCAACACGCCCGAGAAAAGGCTCGGCGACATCGTGGAATATCACATCAGGATACTTGGGTAACGTGTTCATTGATTTCTACAGTGTTTCATAACTACAATTCGCATATGAGAGAAAATACGTCCACAAAAAAATTAAATCATTTGCAATAAAAACAGGAAAATCTTTACAAAATGTAATTCTAGTCTAGTTTCGTTCTTTAATAATATAAACTTTTTAATACACTTATAATTAATAGACATGGCGTGAACAATCCTTGATCATTATATTATCATTGGTGTATCAAAAGTGATGTCATTATTAAATAAATTTTACAATTATTATATGAGTATTTTAAAGAAAAGATTTTTGATTATTTTAATCATGACTTATAGTTTTATAACTGACACTGAGCAGCTTTTGAACGAGATTTTCTTCGTGGATGTAGTCGGATGCACGCTCAACATATGTTTTCTAGGATTCAATATGATAACGGTATGAAACATAATCGCAAACGATATCTTAAAATTATTTATAATATAAAATTTCATAATTGTTCTGCGCTCATGATATTTTGACGTTAGCTTTCTAGGAATGGGAACATCGTGAAACTTTAGGAACAATAACGTTCAGTTCGCTACTTATATCCTTTACGTTCAATATTTTTATCTTTTGCTATATTGGTGAAATTCTTAGCGAACAGGTATTTAAACTGTAATAGCATTTTTTGTGTTTAATATAAAAATTATTTGGTATTTTCGCTGAAATATTTTCATATTAATAACTTGATAAAATTTTAATGAAAATTTTTTCAAAAATATATGTGATTAATTTTCCTAAATTAAAATATTTAAATATGTATCTTCATTAAATTTATTGAACTTAATTTTATAACAAAATATTTAAATTTTTTGCTAAAGAATAAAAGTTCGAAAGATTAATTTATTGCACTAAATGTGTTGTAAGGATTATTTTCTGGATAAAGCATCATAATTTTTTTGACAGTGCATACAAATCGGCACGAAGTCTTACATGATAGATTGGTATCGCATACCGCATAAAGGAGCGCTTGGTTTGACATTAGTGATGACCATGTCCAATACCACAATCAAACTCACAGCTGGAAAATTTATGGATTTATCTTTGACCAGTTTTGTCAGCGTGAGTAAAAATCAATAGAATAAGCCATGAAACGCATATAAAAAAATTAATGCAAGAGAACAAACATTTCAGATTGTAAAAGCGGCAGTGGCTTATCTAAATTTACTTCGTAAGTTTTATGTCTGATATAAAGCAACATGGAATATTAGATGTATTATAGTAAGTGTTAACAAATAGATCTAATAAAAATTAAATATATATGCTAGCATATGCATCTACTCGCTATATCATGCTACAGAAATTAATTTTTATCTAAGCTAGAACTTGAAATAAATAGAGCTAAATTAATTGAAACATTAATTAACAATTAAATTGTGATGCAATTAAGTTTAAAATAAAGTTTAAAATAAAAAATCATAAATTTTATTATAAGATATTGCACAAAAGGCAGTTAGATTTCACACGCATTTTTCTTCCTGTACTGCAAAACTTTCAATGTTGCGTGATGCAACCTCGGAAATACCGCAGTTACATCTATGTATACAACTATGTTAGAACTTCATGAACTTCATACTTCACGTCCCCACATTCATCATCGAATCCTCAGACGAGTAATGACGAGGAAAGGGGAATCACCCTTCGCGCATAAGTTACTGGACATTACAATGTATTTCCCGACTTCGTTACGCATGACAAACGTGAAACGCATATCGCACGCGATCACGGAATCATTATTCCCCGCGTTTGCATCACTCCGCGGACATCGTGACATTGTCGTCTCCGCGTACTCCAGTTAAATCGCGTTAAACTTCGCGAACGACAGTATGCGCGATCGATCCCAACTTCCAGGCAGGATTCATGTAGTGCACAATGTACATTACGAATGCGACGTAAGTTGCGCTATGCAATTATGTCGACGAATTTTGGGAACCGATTGGTATTTGGCATCTCATTTACGGCCATTCGTCGCAAAACAAAAAACTTCTGTCAATAATGCTAATTTTTATATGTTTTTCAATTCTCTACTTTTGTGCTTATACCTTGAAGAAGGTATTTTGCAAGAACAATTTTTTTTTTAATAACAAAACAATTTGTTCTTTTTTCGAACTCAGGATTGTAAGAACAAAAAATTTTTTAAAACGATTGACAGCATGTGAAAGTACAAATTTCAAGCTATAAAATATTTTTTTGTCTACAATAATTTTTCGCCGAATTTTAGTAATTTAAAAATTGCTTAGTTTTAAGCACGTCCGAAAAACATGCCTTATTTTTTGTGAAAAAGAGTATTTTTAATATTATAATTTCTTATATTAAAGAAAAATTAGACACCTGCATTGCGTACTGGCATTGTAAAATATTATATAAAATATACAATTGTATTTTATGTAATTCCATAATATTCGAATAATATATAATAATGCGAAAACGCATTATTTCAAATGATGCATTACATATATATTTTAAAAACAGTGAATAGCAATTACAACATATACGTGCAACTATTTATATTAGAACTCGTCGTAAAATCTTTTCACATTTGCACATCAGTCAACGAACCGTCCGACAAGCAGCGACCGGAAAAAAGTCAATCGTCTGTGTATGCTGAGCACTTGGCTACATATGATACATGAAAAGCACGTGCACATGATTCTAAAATCAGTACTTCCCGCGCTTGCGTCGCGATTATCGTAACGCCCCGGTGTACACAAGGTTTCAGTCGGCGTTACACCTTGCGGACGTCAGCATGTGTAATCGATCTCGACTTCCAGAACGAACGCTCGAGGTGCACAATGTACATCACGAGCAAGATATACATTACACCATGCAATTGTGCCGATGGGTCCTGAAACCAATCGGCATTTGGCACTTGATTTACGGTCATCCGTCGCAGAACGAAAAACTCACTTCGATAGCGTTGATCGTTGCGTGCTTCTCCGCCCTGTGCTTCGTCTTAATACCCGCCGGACTGTATACTTTATTTCGCGAAAAGGACATCAATGTCAAAGTCAAGCTATTCGGCCCGGTCGGTTTCTGTTTAACTTCTACGATCAAGTATTGCTATCTCGGAGCGCGCGGCGCAGCATTTGGAAACTGCATTCAACACGTTGAGAACGACTGGCGGGTCGTTCGTGATCAGGATCATCGCACTATCATGCTGAGAAACGCGTTGATGGGCCGTAGACTCACCACATTGTGCGCGATTTTCCTTTACACCGGCGGATTATCCTATCACACGATCATGCCATTATCCTCCACACGAAGGATCAACGAGAATGTTACCAGCAGAATGCACACCTATCCTGGCTACGATTTGTTTTTCGACCCTGTGGCCAGTCCCGCTTACGAAATCGTATTTTGTGTTCACTGCTTATTCGCGCTAGTCACGTATAACATCACGACGGCAGCGTGCAGTTTAGCAGCGATCTTCGTGACACATGCGTGCGGACAAGCAGAGATATTGATGGCACTGTTGGGCGACCTGGTTGAGGGGAAAAAAAGTAAAGGTACCGTAGAGAAACGTCTGACCGTGATAGCAAAACATCATGTGCGAATATTGAGGTGAATACAAAATGCAATATGTGTCTGAGTAGATTATTAGCGCGTTTCTACATTTTCAGATAGTAGACTAGTCTGCAGAGACAAAACATGCATACAATAATAAAATAATTTTTTTACGAATTTTCTTTATAAAATGATACTTTTAGATGTAAAATGAATAAAAGATAAAGAGTCAATTTATATAAATATTTTTACAAAGCAATTTTCACTGTCAGATGCACAAAAGTTACAAAAAAATAAAATAATCGAGTTTTTAGAATTTTCGTAACTTTCTGACTTAACTTTGAGAGCCTATATTTCTGGTTTTATTAATCAGGGTTCAAAGAAACACATGTTAAATAAAAAAGTCAAACATATTTACACATCTCTTATCATTTTTGAAATATAAGTAAAAAATTTTTATGAAAATATTTTGTAAGAAAATTACATTAAAATACTCTTTTCAGAATTTGATTGACTTTTTTCGTCAATTCTTTTACATTCAAAATCATTATTTTACAAAAAAAAATGCATAAAAAAATTATTTTTTTATTGAGATACCTAGAAAAACTGGCCTGTAGATACATCATGCGTTTTTAGATTTTCAGCCAACGTGGAGGAAGTGTTACGCGAAATATGTCTAATGGAACTAGTGGCCTCCACTTTGATCATATGCTTACTCGAATATTATTGCATGACGGTAAAGAGGATACCATGGTAATAGATCGAATTATAAATTTGTAGTTTGCCATTATTTCATTAATCTTCTTGAATTTTCTGATAGTCGTATTCTTCCCTTCTCAGGAGTGGAAAAATAGTGACGCCGTAGCGATCTTGACGTATTTCATTTTACTGATATCTTTTACGTTCAATATTCTGATATTTTGTTATATCGGTGAACTCCTTGTGGAACAGGTATTATTAATATTTTGTAAAAAATTTTTTTACGTGTTATTTGTTGGTAATTCTGCAATATAAAAAAAATTTATTTTTCGTATATGTATATAAATATACTTTTTGGAGCGAGTTTAAAATATACTATTGATTATTAAAATGTTATATAAAACTAACAGCATTAATTGTCTGTATATATGGCTATATAAATAATGGTGATTTAAAAATATACCAGAGGAAGTTAAAAAGTAAGGAGACTTTTTTTAAAGAATATGATTTCTTTAATGTCCCTTTAATCTCTTTTACTGTTCCTTGTACATAAATTTTCTATATAATACACAATCTATAATATTAAATATAGTCTGGCATATTATACCTAATACAAATATATTTATGCTAATTTTTTGCATATTTTTTAGTACAGCAAAATTGGTTCAGCTGTTTACGAAATCAGCTGGTATAATTTATCGGGAAATAAAGCTCGCAATCTCGTGCTAATCATTGCAATGTCTCATTACCCACCCAAGCTTACAGCTGGCAAGTTCTTCGATTTATCCATCAATACCTTTGGTGTTGTAAGTTCTTTATATAATTATTGTTAATATTCAAATAATTACTAAAAACAAAATTAAAAAAAAAATATTTTTCTAGGAACAGAATAAACCATATATTTTTATATTTGTACAATATATTTTTAAAATTTAATTTAATATTTTTATGATTGTCATTTTTGTGAGATGTTTATCGCTTTCAGGTACTTAGAACATCCGTAGCATATTTAAATTTACTTCGGACGGTTACGCAATAGAAATTTTCAATTGTGCAGATTAGAGCTTCAAATCTAAAATTTGCCATATATATTTTATTGCAATATATATTATATAAAAATTATTAATAAAA